TCAGTTAAACAGAAGGGTCTTGGAGTCTGGCTGGAGTGTAGCTGAGTCTCCAGGATGGGAGCAGACATCACCACTGTCTAGTCTGGCTCAGCCAAGGCAGGTCATTCTGACTTTGCCTAGACTTGCCCTCTAGGACTTTGGACTTTTTAGTGGGATTTCAGCTCGGGGTTTTATAATTGTGAGCTTTGTGTAAATATATATGTGTATAATTTCCCGATACAAGGGTTCTCTGTAAAACAGACCTGGCTGTTCTGGGACTCACTTTGTAGACCAGGCTGACCTCGAACTCATGGAGATCCGCCTGAGTGCTGGGATTAAAGGCATGCAACACCACCGCCTGGCTTGTTTTTGCTTTTATATTTAAAAAAATTTCAAGGCTCATTTTTACAAGAAAATTAACAAAAGGAACAAATTACCCCACTACTAGAATCCAAGTCTCTGTGGTTGTGTCGTGTGAAGACCACATCTGATCCACAGCCACTGTTTTTAAAGTGTCTTCCTTTTACGTGGAGGCTTTAGCGAATCCATCCTTCTGCCTGCAAAGATGTGCCTATTGAATTCACCACACACACACACACACACACACACACACACACACACGACCCCAAGGTCAGTGTGTGTGTGTTATCCCAGCATCCAACATCAGTTTCCCCGTGTTTAGAAGATTCTCAGGGAATAGTGGGTTAGAGGCTCTTGGCTGCCTGCGGCAGGAGGTTGTAAGACCGAGGGGTATTGTGACATGCTCCAAGGAAAGGCCGTTTTTTATTTGGCCAACAGAAGTCCCAGCCCATTGGGGCAAGGGAGCCGGACCAACATGGAACAGGGGCCTGGGGAGCAGCTCTCAAGGACCCCGAAGAAGAAGGTCGAGGCTCAACCAGAGACCCCGAATCAAACTATCTCGGGTCGCGGTCGGGTGCTGCTAATAAGAGAGTTCTTGAAGCAGGAAGAGAGCTACGCGACCCTGCAGAACTTTCCGGGTCAGCCTCCGACGGATCCGAATGCTGAGCCCGCCGACAGCCAAGCAACCGACTGCCAAAGTAGTTCCAGCAGTACCAGGCGGGGACTCAAGCGTACCGGCGATTGCTTGGCATACAGGCCAGAAGCCCCGGCCGCCAAGTACAAGCGCCGCGCGGAGAAGCCGGAGAAGCCGGAAAAGCCAGAGAAGCAGCAGCTCTCGAATCTCAATGAAAAGGACTCGCCCGATTACGAGGCATCTCGAGATCTAAACGGGGCTTCCTGCTCGGAGACGGCTGAGATTGCCGAAGTAGGCTCGGAGCCCGGCAAGCAGCTGCTCCTGGTGCTGTGCCACGCGTCGGCGCTGGACACGCAGCTGCCCCGGCTGCAGCTGCTCTTGCAGCAGGTGCGCGCCCAGGACCGCCGCCCGCCAGCCGCGCTCGTCGGGATCCTCGTGCAGCCGCGGCCGGATGAGGAGGCAGAGTCGCGCCGCCGTCTGGAGGACCTGCTCTGCAGCGTTTTCGCTTCGGAGAATCCAGGGGTCGAGGTGCACACAGCAGTGTTCTGCCCCAGCCGCTCCCAGGGTGTCCTGGACGTTCAGCGCGCTGCCTGTCAAGGGCACGTGGGCCCCCTTGTGGATCGTCAGACCCAGACTGATGGTGAGGAGCCCGAGGGTGGAGACTGGGACTGTTGTTCCCCTGAGAAGTGGGCAAATCCCTAACCTCACTGCCCCGTGTTGGCACCTCCAGAAGTTTGGGGTGCAATTTGGATGGTAATAAACCAGAGTCCTTTTCCCAAGATGTGCGGGCTGGGACTATCTGAAGTGTTCAAGTTAACCCGGAGGAGTTACTTCTCCCACCCATTTACCCTACCCACAGCTTAGGAGAAACCATGATGCGGTGTTGTAGGATCTATAATAGCCCACCCTCTCCTCTCCAAACCCAGGGATGTGCCCTTCCCAGGTTCTTTAGTGGACTCCTATCTCCTGTAACTCCTTCAGGGGATAAAAATGTCAAAAAAAAAAAAAAAAAAACAGCCTATTGTGAGCCAGCCACTGTGTGAAGGGATCTCACCCCCAGGCTTCACAACAGCCCTCTAAGGTTGGGACTTCAGGAGAGTTAACTGGTTTAAAACTGCAATTTTAAGCCGGGCGGTGGTGGCACACGCCTTTAATCCCAGCACTCGGGAGGCAGAGGCAGGCGGATCTCTGTGAGTTCAAGAGCAGCCTGGTCTACAAGAGCTAGTGCCAGGACAGGCTCCAAAGCCACAGAGAAACCCTGTCTCGAAAAACCAAAAAAAAAAAAAAAAAAAACTGCAATTTTACTCAAAGCCCCTAATACCCTCCCTGTGGCCCTGGGGGCTAATTTGAGGCCTAGGGTCCTTGAGCAGTAGACTCTTAACATGAGTTTCCAGCACTCTGTTTCCAGAAGCCCCTTTTGGGGACAGCACAGAGACCAGAAAAGTGTTCTGAGCGCAGAAGCCTTGGTGCCCCATTACAGAGGCTCTGCCGTCTTTCAGCTAGTGGCCAAGCTCCCTCTCTTTAGACCAATTACCCTCCCGTGTGACACTCAAGGATGAAGGACTGCTTGGTGCCATATTCAGCACGAAGAGGCTAGCTTCGAAATAAATGGTGACACACTCATTCTAGTATCCCGAGCACACTGACAGGTCAGAACCTCAGGGACAGTTGAAGGATAGGGTATGATCACTTTTGGATAGGGTATGATCCCTCTTAGGACCTTGTAACCTCACTACCTATCCCCTCAACCTTTTAAGCCCATTCTTTTCCTAAATAGCCACTAACAGGGCTATGTTTCACATGGATAGTTTTAGTGCACCTGGTTAAGAAAAGCCCGCCGCCGCCCCCCCCCCCCCCCCCCGTGGGTCATTCCGATTGTGCCTCTCAGGGGGACTACAAAAATCCTAGTCAGTCTTTGGCAAAGGCCTTAGTAGGGAGTCTCCCAACTCTGCCTAGTCCTATTACTTTCATTCTCAACTCCTGACAGCTTGTATAAAACCTGCTGGCTAAGCAGAGCTGGGAGGAGGCAGCTGCACTGTGGCTGCTCTCTGAGAGGAGCCAGGCTCTCCCGAGGAAGACTTCTCCCAGCTTCTGAACCACGCATTTTCTCCTTAATGGGAGAAACATTCCCCAGTCCGAATTCTGTCATCCGTCTCCCAGGAACCCAAGCCTGTGTGTCCTGTGCCCTGTGGCCTCTCTTCGGGTGAAATGGAATAGCTGTTGTATGGCTAGTAGGACATTCTACCCATATAAGTCCCTGCCCCTGTTATTCTCAGCCAGGAACAACGTTGCCACCTCCTCAAAGCTCTGGGGATATTTAGCCATACCTAGAGATGTTTCTAGTTATCATGGAGGGGTGCTGACCAGTCAATACCAGAGAGGATGAAGAATTTTCTATGGTGTGCAGCGCAGCCTCCCCAGGGAGACATTACTCAACTCAGCATCAATCATGGCTGAAGTTGAGAAACTGGCTTAAACCAGGCTGAGATCCTCCATCAATATCTTGCAGTGATGAGCATCATTCAGACTTCCGGTCTCTCTGGTTCTAAATGGCATCCCCTCAACTGGTCCATCGTTCTTGCCCTGAGGAAGCCTCCACCTGCCCACTGGACCCTCTTACTCCAAACCAAACACACACACACACACACACACACACACACCGATGCCACTGATCCGAGTTTCTCAAGTTTCTAATTCTCCATACCTTTCTTCAATCTTTTCATGCAATAAACTTTTTTTTTCAATTCGTTAATTTCAAAGCCTGTATAATCTGCCTGCTAGATTCACAAAGAAAAAGAACCCTTAACTGGAATTTAGTCCTAAGTGTGCCAACAATCAGCTGGGGGTGAAGAGGCATTTGCATGTAACTTAACTTCTCTAAACCTCGGTATCCTTTTCATAAAATAATAATAATATAATTGGCAAAGTCTTTGCTGGCTCTAGAAGCCTGAAGTCAATCCTCTCATTTCATTATTGACATCTGGTCTGGCCTGAGTGTGGAACTGGCTTGCTAGCTCTCCCCTGCCCTGTGTCAGGTCCCCCCTCCCCAGCAGTTGTGGGACTCTGGGTAGGGCAGGTTACTTACCTACACAGCTTACCTAGTTAACTGAGGACGTTCTGTCTCTCACGAAGAGCACATTTTCTGCTGTGGTGGGTGACATTTAGGCTGTATTTTCAAAATGCCTTTCCTGCTTCCATCCTAAAATGAAAGTCACATTGTTGATTTTGAGGAAGATTTCATGGTCTATTTGACCCATCCAGGGTCTTAGGAGGTAGTACATCTGTTTCACCAATGTAATGAGCTTCAGACATTATCTGTTTTCTGTGAGTTGGCTTAAAGTAGAATTCTTGGTCAAATTCAAGGGTTCATATAAAAATTCAGACACACACATACCCATGTACACCACACACACACACACACACACACACACACACACTGCCCCTGGTCCCCTCCCAGGAGGAAGAGGAGAAGGAATTTCAGAGATGACAGAAGGCAGTGGGCCCTAGGAGGTAAAATGTTAAAAGAAGCCAAATCTTCAGAAAAGTTCCCTGAAAACTTACTAAACAAATGGCGACCATAGATGTTTGTGTTTGGGGACAGACATGTGGAAACCAGTGACAGAGCTGAGAGTTCCATCCAGGATGTCTCCCGTGGACCCAGGAACACGCAGTGGAAAGGTGCCCCAAACTGGTGCTCTAGTCACAGAACCAAGGGGATCCAGTTGTCCTAGGCCCACTGTCTTAATCAGGCCCTGAAGGGATAGGCCCGCTGCTGCCCCCTGCCTGTTCCGGCGAGAAGTCCTGAAAGAGACAAGATGATCCAGCGAAGACTGCCAGAGCCCTAGCCTTGGGATCCACCCTGGCTTTTGTGACCTCACAGGAGGAGGTATGGGTGACTCTTGTCTGGGGGACCTTGCTCCAGTCAAAGACCAGAGCCATACCCGTAAGGGAGACGACCTCCCTAGGGAGGGAGCCAGGAAATTCACAGCTCCATGTAGCTCCTCCGTGTTAGCCTAGAAGGATCACCATGAAGAAGGTCAAGAAGAAAAAGTCCGATTCCAGGCGCCGCCGGGAGTCCATTTCACCGCAGGCTAGCTCCGACTCCTCACAGCCTCCCATCTCGGAAACCCCACCGACATGCCCAGAACCCACCTCGCCACCGTCTCAGCCACAGCCCTGCCAGGAGTCCACCCCACCACAAGTTAACCCTGAACCTCTACCGCAACCGCCTGCACCCCCAGCTCTCCCAGCTGCAGAACGCCGGGCCTCAACGCCATGCCTGGTACCTGCAAAGGTTGAACCCAAAGCAAGCTCTCCATCCAGGAAACCAGGTGGGCAGACGTCCTGTTTAAGTACTTCTATCCTTCTCGCTGATGGGGTCCCAGACCCCAGTTCTTGTATGATGTTGGTGTACAGTTAGTATATTACCTGGGGCCATGCTTATGAAGGATGAAGGGGGAGTAACTACCAGAGAGGCCAGAATTCCTGGGTTTTGTCATTCCATACATCTGAGGTCTCACTGGTTACTATGAATACATAGTAACGTTAAACTTGGCTCTATGGTGAGACTCTCTCCTTAGCAATCAGTCAACTGTTTAGAAATTAAAGACAAACTGTCTAGAAGAAGTGAGGCTGTCATATGCCTTAAGACTACATTTTTGTCGGGCTCTTCTCATGAGAAACCTGACTAGCACAAAGAAGATAGCCCAGAGTGAGGTGACAATTTTTGAGAGAACTGGGGTTTCCTGTTTATCAGGTGGAAGATGGGAGAAAAGTTTTTCCATGTTGTCCCAAGAGGTCTGACCTTGAACCCACAGAGAGGATAGTGTAATAAAATCCAGGATTCCTGGCTAAATTCTAACTTCAGATAAACCACATCATGTTAGTATATGTGTTTCAAATAAGCATCCTGTATTTCTGTTTGCTAAGTTGTCAACCTTTCCCACAGAAGAGACTAGAGAAGAATCTGATCAATGTTTAAAACAAACAAAGCAACAACAACAACAACAAAATAACATTTTGTAGCCATCAGCTCTGTCTACAATTAAACGGCTGGCTGACTGCCAAAAAGCAATCCCTATCTGCTTGGATAGCCAATGAGAGGCCAACTTTGGACAGTATGAAGGGGAACAGTGGAGCTGGGATGCTTGAGACTGCTAAAGACAATGGCGATAGCCAATCAAACTGCCCGTGTCAGTATCTGGCACTCAAGCTCAGCCAACTAACTTAATCATCTTATCTGATGATACTGCAGGGATGGTATTATTTCTCTGCCCATTTTATAGATAAGGAAACCAGGGTTTAAACTAGCTAACAGGCCCTGGAGTAGCCGTTGGTGCTGCTGAAAAGGGGACTTCATTCTATTCTGACTCCAGAATCCTTACCCTTAACCACAGCTAACCTTCCAATGCCAAGAAACCAGCTAGTCTCTCAAGAAGAACATCTTTCTCTGACCTTTCCTTGAGCTGCGACCGGGTGCTCTGTGTCCTTGAGCAGGCCACGATCTGTGGGCCACAGCAATCCTAAGACAGTCTGAGTCAAAAGTTAATGAGAGTTCTAAATCCAAGGACTTGCCAGGACACCAATGCCTCTGTGATTAAACACCACGTCCTTGACCTGTGGTGGTTGTGTGTGACGTGAGCATGAACCATGGAGACAAACATTTCTGGATGATGACCTCAGGACCGGTGTCACCAGTAGAAGGCAAACTGTGCTGTTGCCAATCTTTTAAGTCTTGAAGCAGTCACTTAGAAGGCAGTGGGGTATTGAAGGGGTGAAGATGAGGCCCACGGCATTCGTTAGCTTTCTCATCACTGTGACCAAATGTATGAAACAGCCAAAAGTATGAATTATTCATGTTGGTTCACAGTTTTAAGGTTATCCTTGCATCATGGCAAGAAATAGCTCAGAGTAAAGCAGCCAGGAAGTGGAGAAAGGAAGGACAAGAAGGGCAGACAAATCCTGCAAAGACGTACCCTGGTATATCTTCCTGTTAGGCTCCACCTCCTACCTTTTATTAACTCCCAATAAGGCTACATTGTGAATCCATGGAAGGGATTAATCCGTTCATTAGATCAGAGCCTCCACAGATCTAATTTTTCTCCAGAAACACCTTACTAGACGCACCCAGGGGTGCGCATTACAGATATCCTTGGCGTTTTCCAACCAGTCAAGTTGATGAGATTCACCGTCACGTTCATTGAGGTTATAGTGGACACCTCATGTTGCTTCCCAGGGAATAGTCCCCCTCTGAGAAAGAGCAGGCAGAAAGGTTGGAAATATGGGCTGAAGACTTTAAAATATATAATGTCACTTTCTATAACCATACCTTTTTAATGCAAAATAATGTTGACTCAAAGCAGTACCGATCCTCCGTTACAGTGACATCATTAAAAAAGGACAATAACATGTTGGAGATTTAGAATTCAGAATATACACTGTTAGTAGGATTGTAGAGTGAGATGGGTATTCCTGGGAAGCAAGCTGGACGTTACCACGTGACCCATTCCATATCTGAGTATCCATAAGAGAGAATTAAAACCACACCCAGACAGAAACCTATATGTGAACGTCCTAACAGCACTGTTGATAATAGCTAAAAGTTGGAAACAATCCAGTGCCCACCACATGATGAATGGATAAACTAAATGTGGTATAAAATATCAGAATACAATGAAACACTACTTGCAAAGGAAAAATTATGTGCTTTATGGATAACCTCTACAACACAGGTGAACCTTAAAATATTAGTCTAGAGAAGCCAATCCTCCCAAGAGTTAATATATATTGTTTGATTTCATTTGCAAAATGCCCAGAATAGGTTAATTTATTGCCCGGGATAGGAAAGAGAGAAGTGGGGGTGTCTGATGATAGGGTGAGTTTTCTTCTTCAGGAGATGGAAGTGTCCCAAAGCTATATAGTTGTGATGGTCACACAACTTCACAAACATACTAAAGTCACATAGCACACTAATAGTAAATTAAAGGACTTGGAGAGTTATATCTCAATTTCAACTTTTTAAGCTGAAAATAAAAGCATTGTTTGTAGAATCCTTGCTTTCCCCATTCCAAGAAAACCATGTGTTCTATAGACAGACTAAGCAGGAAGTGTACTGAACCTGCTGGCTGACTAACCGGCTTTACAGCACTGAAGACTGAAGCCCTTGTCAAACCCAGTTGGAATTATCCACTAAAAACCAGCTTGGCCAGAAACAAAGGGTAACATCTTCCAGTTCTGCTAAGTCAGGTCCCAGAAGAACACAGAAATGGTAGGATTAGGGAACTGTTTCTGCAGGAATAAAGCGGTGTAATGTTTGCCTTCAGGATAAACTAGTGCCCACGACGTACATGAAATATAACAACACCAACTCCAGGGCTCTCGTTGCAGCCTCTCATGGGCAGTACCATCGCCTGCTTGCATCACTTCCTACCAGTTCCATAGGAAGGACTTCCACTGACTTAAAAGTTAGAGATCTTGCTCTCAGCACTCGGGAACCAAAGGCAGGATCTCTGAGGCCAGCCTGATCTACAGAACGAGTTCCAAGACAGCCAGGGCTACATAGAGAACCCCTGTCTTAAAAAGAAAAAAAAAGTTGGAGATCTTGAGCTAATGTCCGCTTCTTTTTTTCTTTTCTTTTCTTTTTGTTTTGGTTTTTTTTTTTTCTTTTTTAGTGTTTTTGTTGTTGTTGTTGTTGCTGTTGCTATTGTTGTTTTTCAAGACAGGGTTTCTCTTTAGCTTTGGAGCCTGTCCTAGAACTAGCTCTTGTAGATCAGGCTGGCCTCAAACTCACAGAGATTCGTCTCTTCCTCCCAAGCCCTGGTATCAAAGGTGTGCGCCACCACCACCCGGCAAGCTAATGTCCACTTCTGTAATGAACTTGCTATGTTCTTTAAGCCTCAGATTCCTTATCTGAAAAAAATGAAACCAGCACATTCCATGTCACAGGGTTGCTGTCCCAATTAAACACGGATGACAGGAAGCACTAGACAAGTGTAAGCAGTCTCTTTGCATTGCTGTGATTCTTCCCAAGTGACACCAGCCTGTAACCCACCTCTTCTTCCAAACAGCTAGTCCGCCTTGTGTTTGAGAAGGGACAGCCCTGTAGGCTAGCTGCCTTCTTATCGTTCAATCTCACACCTTTGGGGTTTCCTATGGTAACACTGCAGGCTGCCACGTGTGACTTCTAGGGTTGTCCTCAAGACTGTGCCCCACCCCCAGGAACATGGTGCCGCCCTCATTTCTCTCGTTCTCTGTCCAGGAGTGCCTCTGACCTATATGGCTCCACGCTCCTGTTCCTGTATGGCCTGCCCGGGCAGCTCTGCTTGCTGGCGTCGTCTGGGGCTGTGTCACAGCCGCATCTTCGATGTCCTCCTGCCTCGGGACTGGCAAGCCATGCCGGGGAGAGGATTCCCAAACCTTCTCACCTTCTACAGGTTCCCAAGCAAGTGGGAGGGATAAAGCCTTGAGCGTAGAGTCCCCAGGGCCAGGATCCGTCCTCAGACCTTAGTAGCAATCATGTGTAGTAAATTCCTTCAGAAACCATAGGTCTTTCCAAAGGAAAGCTTTCCCCTCTAAATATCCAATTCTGCTTTCGTGGGCAGACTCCTGTGGTACCTTTTCTCTTTTCCACAGAAGCCCTCACTCCTGAGAGGACCCCTCCACCTAGCCTATATATATATATATATATATATATATATATATATATATATATATATATATACTCCAGTCACCTGGGAGCCTTATGATTACATGTTGGTTGACCATTCGCTTCCTTTTTCGATTCATACCATACATAGGGAGCATCTATTTAGCACACTGTATGTGAATTATCCCTGGAACTCATCGATAAACCTGATTATAACTCACACACCCCTTCTACTAATAATAACAAAACCTGCCCCATTCAGAGTATGCCGTGCTGTTACCACGAACATCCATAAGGGTCATATGTTCCAGACTGGTCTGTTATTGTCAGCCCCTCCTCCATCATGGCATCACCCGGCCTTTGCCTTGATGTTCCTCAGCAGAAATGAATCTAGCCACTGTCACTCGTGGGAAGACCCTCGTCCATGTTAAGACCAGACTGAAGATGTCTTCATTCTTGCAGGGCTGCTGGGTTACTTGTTGGGGCTAAGAGAGGGGCCTCTACCCAGATGATCAGTCCCACTTGTGCTCAAGATGTCACAAAAGCCCCTGGCAAAGGGCCTTCCATGTGGAGGCCTTCTATCTTACATCAGGAGTGTGGCTCACTGTCCCACATTCTTCTCCTCTCCTTACCCTTGCCAGCTCCCTCTCCTGCAGAATATGAAACACACACACGGGGGTGGGGGCTGCTCTAGGGAACAGAACATGCCTGGCATCAGAGATACCAGCTAGTCAATCCCGTCCCATCCATCTGCTGCCAGGTGGTGATTGGGTTCCCATGGGTAAAAAGAATCAAAGTCTGCTCTAGCTGGATGCTAGGCGCCATGAGAGTCACCTAAACAAGATCTTCACCTTTCCGACGTGTTCAACCCAGGTGGTAGATAAGACACATGCATTTAGAAACCTCTACACAAAACACGTAGTGTTGGGTCCAGGAGGGCGCCTGGGAATTTTAGACTAAGACAGCGCCATGTCAGGGTCCACAGCATTGTGTGCCCAGTGTATGAGCCAACTCCAAAAGCGTCCTGGGGTCCTCTACTGCTTAAGATGAAGAGGAGGGGTCTTTTAAGCTGTAGGAAAAAAAACAAAACAACGTTCAGACTTAGGAAAGTGAGGGAAAGAGGCCTGGATCCCATGGCCAGGGAGAGACTCATGGTTTTTATTTCGTTTCCCAAGGGAAAGACTGCTTCCACAGTCTTTACCTTTTCAGAGGACTTAAAATAGGCATTCACGTTAGACAAGAATCCCTGCTTTGGTCAGCTTCCTCTCAGACGGGCTGCTTCATTTCCGGGATGTCTTCCATTTACTAGTACACTCTTTTGCTGTCCCAGTCTTTGCAGTGGTGTCTCCAATCTGTGCTTTCCTGATATCTAAATGTCTCTGAAATGCCTCCGAGAGTTGTTGTGAAGCTTAAAGGGGACGTTGAGTGGGGGATGCCTGGTACCTGGCCCGGCACATCATGGTCTGGACCACCCTCATCCTATCACCCCTCTAGGCATCAGGCCTAGGCCAGCCCACCTTCATGCCCCAGGGGTCTTGCTGGAAGCTTTATAGCAAGGGGCGGGGGCACTCGTTAGGGTACCCTTTCCTTCTTTTAGAAGGAAGATTAGGACGGGACCCTCTAAGTGCCATTGTCTCCTTCCAGGACACAGACACTAAACTTTTCTCCCCCAACCGCCCTTTCTGCTGTGCTTTGCAGAAAACCTTCAAGGAAATACTGCACTTCCCGTAACTCACGTACTTCAGGCTCTCGGGACTGTTGCTGTGTCTCTGGGAGCCCTGGGAGCTGCCTACTTCATCGCTGAATCCTTGTGAACTGAACCCCAGGCCCATGGTCCGGCAGGTAGGAGGATCGCCATGTTCCTTTCCTCTAGATAGAGCTATCTCAAGGTGGACTAGGCCTTCAGCCTGTCAGGGAAAGCTCATCATCTAGGCAACTCATTCCTGACTCAAGATAGGCTGTCCCGGGACCATTTATGAGAACCATCAGGACAAACTCCTACCTTCTCTCTTGTCCCCTGCCCTGCTATGGCTTCCCTAGCCCTATGGAAAGAAGTAGCATGGTTGGGATTAGGTTGCTCACAATTTGGAGTCTTTCTTAGAATGTCTAAGAAAACTGGCTACCCTTCTCAACATCTCTAGTCCGACCTCTCTTTGGTGGCTTAGCTCCCCTGGTGTACCCCCCAACTCCAGTGACAATTTCCACTCACACCAGTGTCCTCCAGCCTGTTCCACAAGGTTCTTTGGAATGTGTGTGATCTCTCCTGCTCCTTATATTGCACCATTTCTGAGTATGGGGATGTCTTCAAACGCCATTCCGTTTCACCTGAGCCCCCTGAGCCCCAGAAGCAGAGCTGGAAACAAGGACTGGTTATACCCAATACCTTAAGGAAGTACTCTCAGGAGAAAGCCAAGGTGGGTGGGAAGGCAAGAGCAAGAAGGGAAGGCCTCAACCTGGCTCCATGGAGCCCCAGAATGTTATTTGTACAATAGAGCCACTCCCTCAAGAGACACAAGGCTTCTCCTTCCATGTCCCTGTGCCCCTTGATCAGTATGGAACTGTAGGGGTGTAGGGAGCAAATTTGGGTCTTGGTGGAAAAATCAGTTCCTCAGCCTGAGTGCCAGCCACTGGAGGAAGGAGTAGCCCTTGGTCATCAGCAGCCAAAATCTACCATTCAAAGAGCCAATGCATCTGCTGAGAAGGGAACTGGGCGAGGTGATCGCCAAGAGCACCCACGGTCATCCCAATAGCTAGGTCTTGATCAATGAATGCTTTAAAAGTGATGGTTGAGGGAGGGAGCGAGAGCCAAGGGAGATATTTCTGCCTGACCCTGAGCCGTCTATCATCCATGGGAGTGGATGGGTGATAACTGAAGTCAAACACAGGTCTGGGAAGCAATGCTTAAAATATTTAAACATCCAAATCCCGCAAAAGGCTCCAGTGGGAGTCATTTTGCCAGAGCTCCTGATGTCCAATCAAGGGTTATCTGATGAATAATAATAGTAAACCACCCTGCCCTCCAGGAAATAGTGCATGCAGCACCTAAGAGCCTTGGCTTCCCTCTTCTTGCTTGGAGTGAGCAGGAGTTTGAGGGAGATAGTTGGTGTCTGCTGTGTCTTGTTATCATACCAGGATGGCGCCAGAAAAGTTGCTGGATTTGGAGTTAATGTGACAATCTCCAGTCTAGACTGTGCTGCTTGGATTCGGTGTTAGAAGCATGTTCTTAACTTCTCTGTCAGTGTTATCTCTAGTGGAGAGTAACAGCTCTCTCTGAAAACCACGGACATGAGGAGTCAAAGAGAGAGACTCAGAGGTGCCCTGTTCAGGGCCATGCCCCAGGATGGGGATGACAGTGGCACTAGCCACATAAAGGATGCAAGCATTTCATCTGTGAGATTCCTTGTAGCATCACTGCTTAGAAATATGGGTTTTGCGAGCATGCAGACTTAGGGTTAGATGTTCCTTTGACATCCAGTGCCTGGAGCCTGGGGCAGTTTCTGGCATCTCATTCTCTTCCCGTTAAGTGGAGATAATACCAGCAGAACGCTCTTGTTGGGAAGACTGAATTTTAAAAACTGGTAATGGCGAGATGTCTCAGTAAGTGAAGTATTTGCCTGGCAAGCATGAGGATCTAAGTTCAAATCCCCATCACCCATGTAAAAAGCCAGAACCAGCAGTGTGATCCCAATGCTGGAGACTTGCAAGCAGGAGGGTTCTTAGGGCTCTCGGGTCAGTCAGTCTAGCCGATCCCTGATCTCTAGGTTCAGCGAGAGACTACACCTTGTCTCAAAATAAGAAGGAAAGCAATTGAGGAAGACTCATCATGTTGACCTCTGCCTTCTGTACATATATGTCAATCTGCACACATGCAGAGACAGATGGGTGGAGAGGGAAGGGGGAAGAAAGAAGAGGAAGAGAAAGAAGAGGAAGAGAAGGAAGAAGAGGAGGAGAAAAGGAGGAATTTGAATTCTAAGATGACTGACTTTTTTACAAAAAGCATTTAGTTGTTGAACCCGCATAGGGAAGACTGTTAAAGTGGAAAGTTGTCTAGATAGATGGCAAGAGATTGATTAAGCTAATAACTGTGTCACTTACCTATTATTTATCTTTCCTTACAGATCCAGTGTCCATCAAAGGATCTCACTTGTCACCAAAATAGAGAAAGAAAAATACCTTGTCTCTTTTCATCATTTCATTTTATTTTTTTTTTTTGAGACAAGGACTTCCTACGTAGTCCAGGATAGCCATTAACTCCTAATTTTCCTCGCAGAGCCTGCAGAATGCTAGGGTTTCGGGTGTGTGCCACCAGACCCAGGTAGAAATCTGTCTTCAGTGTGTTTTACTCAGAAATATAAAAGTTGGATCCGGCACCCAGTCATGGAGGTGAGAGCCTTGAGGATGTTTCAGTCTGAGTAGAAACCTACCATTCCTGGCTTGGCCTCTCACTAGGGAGAACCACACTGCACACATTCAACTGGACAATGTGTTTCTGCTTTTCTCACTCTAAAAGCAAGAACGACCAGGCTCAATTCAACGCCTAATTTAACTGGTCAGCCGCACATCAGGCCAGTTAACAAGGGCAGGAGGGACAAGCTAGTAAAAAGCCTGTGTCCTGGGAGGCAAGGGCCCTGAACCTAGCAGGGCTATCTCTAGGAAATGGCCCCTCTCAGCATTACTTGTGATGGGGTCCTGATCTGTTTGTACCCTGTGACTACTTCTGGTCAGTGCTGGGTGGGCTTTTTCTTCTAATTCTTAAACTGTCAGGTAGAATCTTAGTCTACAGTAATCCCAGCAAATACTCCTGGAAGAGGCAGGTATTACTTGGAAGGGAGACAGACAGCACTGTGTCTGGTGGCACACACCTGAAACCCTAGCATTCTGCAGACCCTGCTGGTGCCACCTTGGAAGACGGCAGTAGACACCGTCAGAATAATCCCACCCAAGAGAAAACTAACAGTGAGTAGCCACTGCTACCTACTGTTGATGGCGGCCTACCAAGAAGGAGATGGCTGCACTTGCATCCTCAGGAGAGGAATCCTGTAGACAGGGAAGAGTAGATGGCAGAGAACGCTGTGCCCAAGCCTTGTGGGGCAGGTAAGGGTGGGATAAGAACCTGCTGTTCCTCTAAGAGTTGGCCAAGGGGGAAATCTAGCCAGACAGCCCCCAGTGAGGCAGGAGACTGCTCTTCCTGGAGCAGTGGATAGAATTGAGTGGATAGGTCAGGCTAGTTAGTTACTGGACGTCCCCGGAGCCTGTGAATCTTTGTTTAAGGTGATCCCAGCAAACAACACTAGTTGAGGGGACAAGTGATCGGAACTGGGGTTTCCTCCCTGAGCCCATAGAAACGTTCTCTGAGAAGTCAGGCTCTTAAAGAATGCAGAACAAGGGACCCAGGAGGATCATGTTTCTGCCCTGTGCTGTGTGTGATATGAAGAATCCCACAGATCTCAGAGACCCTGTGACCACTACTTCCGCAAGGCCTGACTCCTATGACCAAAGACAAACTCCTTTCCCTGGTATATTAATAGACCCCCTTCTGTTGTAAATGACAACTTGGCAAACCCGTGACCCTGCTTAAACCAGCCCTCTGCCCAGCACACAGGCTTACACAGCTATACTTGGAGCCGCTCGCCCACACAAGTACTTCTCTCGCTCAGTCTCCCTCGATGCCTTGTGTACCCCAGGCTGGCCGTGTCTTCCAGGACGGTCTCATGTATCCCATATCCCCTCTGTAGGAGGAGACCACATTCCCTGAGGAGACCATGAACGGATCCCCCTGCCTCCACCTCACAAGCACTAAAATTGCAGGCATACACCACCATGCACAGTTTATTCAGTACGAGGGATCAAACCCAGGACCTCGGTCATTTTAGACAATCACTTTACCAACTGAGACACATCTCTAGTCCCAGACTGACTTTCGATGCCTGACCACAGACTCCCGGTGGGGCCGCAAGCCGCTAGGAACCAGATCACCTTATATTCCCCATGCATTTATTGGTTGTCCTCCCCTCCCCCGCCCCCAGTCTATAAGACACTGACCACAGCACCTCTGTAATGACTGCCCATTACCCTGTCCCTGAGGCATTGACTGATTTGATGATGCTGGCCACAGGCCTGTTCTCGAAACCAAGATAGATGGGTTCTTCAGTCTGGCTGCTTTTTATTAAACACAACGGGTTATTATTATTATTATTATTATTATTATTATTTGTTGTTGTTGTTGTTTTTGTTGAAAAGATTTCCGCCTCCTCCCCGCCTCCCATTTCCCTCCCCCTCCTCACACTCCTCTCCCTCTCTCCCCACTCCTCTCCCCCTACCCCCACTCCATTCCCCCTCCCTCTAGAGTCTGAAGAGCAGTCCGGATTCCCTGCCCTGTGGGAAGTCCAAGGTCCTCCCCGCTCCATACAGGTCCAGGGAAGGTGAGCATCCAAACTGGCTAGGCTCCCACAAAGCCAGTTAGTTCATGCAGTAGGATCAAAACCCAGTGCCATTGTCCTTGGCTTCTCATCAACCTTCATGGTCCGCCATGTTCAGAGAGTCCAGTTTTGTCCCATGCTTTTTCAGTCATAGTCCAGCTGGCCTTGGTGAGCTCCCAATAGATCAGCCCCACTGTCACAGTGGGTGGGTGTACCCCTCACGGTCCTGACTTCCTTGCTCATGTTCTCCCTCCTTCTGCTCCTCATTGGGACCTTGGGAGCTCAGTTCAGTGCTCCAATGTGGGTCTCTGTCTCTATCTCCATCCATCGCCAGATGAAGGATCTAAGGTGATATGCAAGATATTCATCAGTATGGCTATAGGATAGGGTCATTTCAGGTTCTCTCTCCTCAGCAACACAACGTTTTGAATTTATATTTCAGTCCTATATGAAGTAGTTGTTCTCTTTTTATTTCTAAGTGTGTCACAATCTATTTCTTCATTCTTCTGCTACTGATATAATGTCATTTTTTCAAGTTAGGGTTCTTAAAATAAATTTAATATGCTTGTGTAATTTTTTTTAATGGGAGCAGCGTTTTCATTTTGTTTAAACATCTAGAAAAGAAATTGCTGGGTTTTAGTGTGGGCACATGCTTAATTGATTTGGTGAGAAATTTTTTGAAGTGTTTGCACCATCTCAGCCTAGTCTACCAGAACTGTGAGTGCTCTGAAAACTCCACACTGCCTAGCCGCTCAGTTAACCAGCTCGTGGTGCTCCTCCGGACAAACAAAAACCTTTCTACTGGCCCACTGTCTGGATCCTTTATTAAGGAATGACAATAAATGTTTAGTTGTGAGAGTGGTTTTATAGTCAGTGTTAAAATAATCATTTATGCTGAGCCAGTGACCTCAGCTGGAGCAGGCCCAAGGCAGCAACCTCCACAGGAGCAGGTACAAGGGAATGACCTCTGAGGGAGCAGGCCTGAACCAGCGACCTCTGCCTGAGCAGGCCCAAGGCAGCTGCCTCAGCAGGATCAGCCCCAAGCAAGCAACCTCTATGGGAGCAGAGCAACCCATACGACTTCCAGGGCATCTGAAACTATCGACCTGACTGCACCACCAGGAGTAACCTTCTGAGCCTTAGATCCACTGGCACCTGGAAGATTGATCACCAGAGACACAGCCCCAACTACACCAATCAGAGGAAAAGATGGGTAGACAAGGTAAGAACACACTCAACTCCACAAAGAACAACATGACACCAACAAAAACTAGTGGCCGTACAACAGCAAGACTTGAACACCCAAATACAGATGAAGCAGAAGAAAATGACCTAAAAAATAAATGCAGGAGAATGTTTAGGGGCCTTAAAGAGGAAATGAAAAATTTTATCAAAGAAATGGGAGGAAAAGACAAACAAAAAATAGGAAGAAATCAAGAAATTTCCTAAAGAAAATCAAGAAAAAGTAATCAAACAGATGAAACAATTCAAGACTTGAAAACTGAAATAGAGACAATAAAGAAAACACAAACAGAGGGAATTATGGAAATTATGAGAAAACAATCAGGAACCACAAATGCAAGCATAAACAGCAGAACATAAGAGGTGGAAGAGAATCTCAAGCTCTGATGATACAACAGAGGAAATAAACTCATTAGTCAATGAAAACATTAAATCTAACAAAATCTTAAGACAAAATATCCAGGAAATATGGGACACCATGAAAAGAACGAAAATAAGAATAATAGGGATAGAAAAAGTCTAACTCAAAAGCACAGTGTTATACAAAGTACTAGAAGGAAAACTCCAACCCAAGGAACTTAGCAACATCCAAAAAAAAAAAAAACCCACAGAAAATAGATGATCTGACAGGAGCAAATCCCAAAAAAAGGGAAAAACACAAAATATTACCAACAACGAAAACTAAAATAACAGGAACTAACCATCAATGGTCATTAATATCCCTTAATATTAATGAAATCAACTCACCTATAAAAAAGACACAGGTTAACAGATTGGATATGAAAACAGAATCCATCCTTCTGCTGCATACAGTAAGAAACGCACCTCAACCTCAAAGACAGACATCGCCTCAGAGTAAAGAGTTGAGAATTTTTCCAATCAAATGGACCTAAGAAACAAGCTGGTATAGCTATCCTAATATCTAACAAAATAGATTTTTCAAACTAAAAAGAGACAAGGGCATTTCATATTAGTCACAGGAAAAAGCCATTAATGGGAAATCTCAATACTGAACATCTATGCCCCAAGTACAAGAACATCCTCATATGTAAAAGAAACACTACTAAAGCTTAAATCACACATTAAACCCGACACGCTAATAGTGGGAGATTTCAACACTCCACTCTCACCACTGGACAGGTCAGTCAGACAGAAAATTAACAGAGAAATAAGGAAACTAACAAGTTATGAATCAAATGGACTTAACACACGTATATAGATCATTCCATCCAAACATAAAAAATATACTTTCTCGGCACCTCATGGAACCTTCTCAAAACTTGATCACATACTAGGTAACAAAGCAAACTTCCACAGATACAAAAAAAATTGGAAAATCCCCATGTATCTTATTGAATCACTATGGCTAAAATTAGAATTCAATGACTTCAAACTCTACTACAGAGCTACAGTACAGAAAACAGCCTGGTATTGGCATAAAAACAGACAAGAGGACCAATGGAACCAAGTCAAAGACCCGGATATTAATCCACACACCTATAAACACCTGGTTTTTGACAAAGGAGCAAAAAATTTAAACAGGAAAAAAAGAAAGCATATTTAACAAATGGTGATGGT